AATGGTTCCTGGCCCGCTAGTGGCCAGGAAGAGGCCCAGGACAGAACAATTAGAAATGAGAGGATCTTAGCCCCTCAAAAAAAACAAAGAGCTTTCGAAGATTAAGAAATGAACCATGTGTACCGTTGTCTCAATTCGCCCTCCTCTGATCGCATTTGTCATGCTTCGGTGGCAACCCGTGGGAACCTGCCATGACATCTTGCTGGCTCCTGCGAACCGACGCTAACCAACGCTAGTCGACGCTAAATCTACGCTAGTCGACGCTGAATCAGCACTTCCTCATTGATACGCCAATCGACGCCTACCGAATCATCCTCCCACATGTTCTCCTCTTGACTGCCGTGCAAAAGAACGGCGGCGAGCGAGGGGGGGAAGTGAGAAGGAGAAGGCTTTCTCGGAAGGCTCGGAAGTCCCCCGGCATTCTGAGAAGCTTTCTAAGCCTTCCCCGAAGACGCAGAAAACTTTTCAGAAGGCTGGCCGGCTTCTGAGAAGCTCCGCCGCCTTCTGAGGAGGCCGTCTCCTTTTCACTTCCCCCCCCCCCGACCCCGACGTCATGACTTTTTCATTACGTCGACACCCAGAGTTCTCGACCCATTCCCCGGGGCTGGTTTCCCATCCTGGGTCGTTTCTTGACGGTCCCGAGGCCAGGTGAGGGCCCCTGGAGGCCGAAAACAACGCAAAATCTTCCGTCGTGATTTTTGTCATGATCCGAGGGATTCCACGGTTGGAGCTGCTCCTGGGCCACGCGGCCAGCTCGTCTCTCGTCCTCCCCTCCTGGGCCCCAGGCGCCGCAGCCGCCCCCCCCCCCCTGGACCCTGGAGGCCCCCAGAGGGCTCCTCGATCCTCCGCCCTCCTCGACGGTCCTCCTCGACCCTCGATGCTCGATGCTCGATGCTCGATGCTCGCTCGCCGAGGGAAAGTTTGATTAGCCTGCGAGGGAGCGTCGAGAGCGGCCAAGAGGGGGGTGTCCAAGAGGGGGGGGGTGCAAATCATGACCGGCGGCATGTGCGCGGCCCAGCGGGGGGGCCAGGGACGTAAATAAGAAGGGGCGCCATGAAATCTGGAAAAATATCATGGCCCCCGCCATGATATCCACCCCACCCTAGTCATCACCCCCCTCTTTGCCGCCGCCGGGAGCGGGGAGGGGACGTCGAAGGTCGCCGGGGAGCCGGGACGCCGGGCGCGCAGCCGACGCGGAGACCGCGGGCAATCTGCACAGAGACGACGACGACGACGACGACGACGACGACGACGACGACGACGACAACGACGACGACGTCTACGACGACGACGACGACGACGACGACGACCCAAAGCGAACTTTCGGAGGCGAGCGAGGGGGGTAACCTCGTGCTGCGTGCGCCTCTTCCCCTCTGAGCAGGCAGCCCTGCGACGGGCCGGACAGTGCCGATATCGGGTGCCCTCACGCTGCGGACGAGGAGCTGCGCGTGCCTCAGAGCCTGGCAGCTGTGGAGCGGGTGCAGCCTCACGCTCTGCACGAACAGAACCGGCGGCGAGCGAGGGGGGGGACGTGAGAAGGGGAAGACCTTCTCGGAAGGCGGCGGGGCTTCCCAGAAGCCCTCCGGCCTTTTGGGAGGCTTTCTGTGTCTCCGGGGAAGGCTCAGAAAACTTCTCAGAAGGCCGGGGGACTTCCGAGCCTTCTGAGAAGGCCCGCCCCGTACCCTGGTGAATATCGCTGGGCCTGCTTCTTCAACAGTTCTATTTTCAGAACCGTCGGCACACATCTCGCGCGTCGTGGTCTCCTCGCTTAGAGTTGGCTGCGGTATCGCACCTTGTCGAGGAGCATCGCGACGCTTTCTATGCTCAGGAGCTTGAACGTGACCGTAGTTCTGCACTTCTCAGCGCCCCTCTAACGGGGACTCCACTAACGGGTACTTTGGCCAGTGACCCCGCGAGCCCAATCCTCCCCGATTTGGGCAACGCTGCAGTGCGAGAAAGAGGCCCTACAATGTCAACTCTCGGCAACTTTCCAAAATACCCGTGAGAGAATACCCGTTACGGTGCCGCTGAACTTCCCACCTGGGCTCGCCGCCGGGACTTGGGAACAAAAGCCACGGACAGAAACTCTTCTTCGGCACCGCCGGCGATCGCAGGCGCGATGGGGCCGGCAATTACCAGCGGGTCGCGCAGTGCGCGGAGCGAAGGGGCAGGTGGAAGAGAAGAGGGCGGCCGCGGAGGAGAGAGAGAGAGAGAAACAAAAAAAAAAAAAAAAAATGCGAGGCGGGGATTCGTCCATAGCCACCGCCTGGGAACCGACGTCCTGGTGCCCAAGCCGGCGGTGGACATGGAAATATATATATATATATATATATATATATGCACATACTGGTCGCCGGGGGCCCGAATCGATCCATACCCATCGCCTGTGGAGGCCCGCGAAGATCAATCCCCCAGGCGGTGGTTACACTCGGACCTAGGCCAGAAGAACACCCTTCAAGAACATGAGGCCCTCCGCCGGCCAGAGCAAACAGAACGTCCAAGGGTACCCCTCCCCAGACTGCACAGGAACACCCAACAAACACGAAGAAAGCTACTCCAAGTTTCTTTATAAGCGTCGGGGGGGGGGGGGCGCCCCCCCGCCGACGGCCCCAAAACGACCCCCGTCGCGGGCAGCCACCGCGCGCCGAAGGCGCTCCGAGCCCCGTCGCGGCGCGACGAGGCGAGGCTGACCCCGTCGGGGGGGGTTTACCCCCCGTCGCCGAGCAAAAAAACCCGAGCCGGGCACCCTCCCCGAACGGACCTCGAGCTCACACCTCGGCCCGACTGCACGGCTACGCTTAAGTCGGGCCTGTCCCACTACAGGGGGATGTTCGACGAAAAATAAAAGGTACCCAAAAAAAACAACAAATAATCCAAAAATAGTCTGGGGACTATTTTTTGAGTATTCTTTGACCTTTTTGGAATATTTTGGGGGTATTCTTGATTTCTCGTCGAATATCCCCCTGTAGGGGGACACGCCCGACATCAGGCTACGCTCTCGCCTCGCACGACGGGGGGGAGAGGGAGCCCCACCGCCGAGTCGGCGGCGCGAGAGCGGGGGGAGCGCGCAGAGGCGGCCTCGGGCACCGAGGCCCCGAGGCGTGGCGCGGGTGCCGGAAAGGGCGGGAGGGCCGGGGAGGAAGCAGCAGGAGCAGCAGAGCAGAGGGGCGCCGGGAAGAGCAGCAGGGGCGCCGGGGAGAGCAGCAGGGCGCCGGGAAAGCAGAGGGGCGCAGGGAAAGCAGAGGGGCGCAGGGAAGAGCAGCAGGGCGCAGGGAAGAGCAGGAGGGCGCAGGGAGGAGTAGAGCCAGGCCACCGAGCTTCGGGCACAGCGCCGCGCGGTGCGCGACGCTCGGATGCCTTCGCGCCCTGGCGCCGCCCCAGGGGGGAGGCCAGCTCGGCGGCCCCAGCCGCGACGCGCGGAGCACGGCCATGTTCTCGCTCGCCCTGGGGGTGGCCATAGAGGACCCTCAAGCGAAGCCTCAAGTGGGGAAGCATTACAGCACGACGACTGCGACCCGACGGGTTTGGACGTCCGAGATTGGTACGGAATAAAATGGGCACAATGCCCAACAACAAGTATTGTCCAAAACCAACAGCGGCCGCTGTTGGGCAGGCGGCCTTCTGTTTCAAATGGACACAGGCCGCGGCGGCGCGGACAGCGAGTCCTGTTCAAAATGAAGAGGAACTGATATTGGGCAGCGTACCCATTCTTTCCGTACCCATGTAGTTCGTGCCGAACCAGGGACCCGCGAACTGGGCAAGAACCGAATCCCGCGAGTCGAGTCAGCCCGCCAGCGGAATCGCCAGACCTCCACTGGCTCCACGAACAGAGACCGCAGAGGGAGAGGGAAGCAGGAAGGGAAGGGAGGAGGCAGATTCTGCTTCTTCACGGCTCCTTCTCCCCGTCCATATACGCCTCCTCCTCCTCCTCCTCCTCCTCCTCCTCCTCCTCCTCATCATCATCATCATCATCATCATCATCATCATCATCATCATCATCAGCAGCATCAGCATCAGCATCAGCATCAGCATCAGCATCATCATCATCATCATCATCAGCATCATCATCATCAGCATCATCAGCATAATCATCATCATCATCATCAGCAGCAGCAGCATCATCAGCAGCATCAGCACCATCACCATCACCATCATAATCATCTCATCATCCTCATCTCATCCATCATCATCATCATCATCATCATCATCATCATCATCATCATCATCATCATCATCATCATCATCATCATCATCATCATCATCATCATCATCATCATCATCATTAGCAGCATCATCAGCATCAGCATCATCATCACCATCATCACCATCATCATCGGCATCATCAGCAGCAGCACCATCATCACCATCATCATCAAAACCAGCATGAATATCATCATCATCATCATCATCATCATCCTCATCAGCACCGTCATCATCATCGTCACCATCAGCCTCATCATCATCACCATCATGGGTATATATCATAATCAGCATCATCATCATCCTCTTCACAATCATCATAATCACCACCATCAACATCATCATCAGCATCATCATCATCTCCATCACCATCATCATCATCATCATCAGCATCATCATTATCATCATCATTATCATCATCAGCATTCTCATTATCACTACGGTTGCCAGTATCAGCATCACCGTCATCCCCACCACCATCATCAGCAGCAGCAGCATCAGCATAATCATCACCACCAGCATCATCATCATCACCACCCGAAACATCATCATCATCAGCAGCAGCATCATCTACATCATCCGTTTCCTCATCCTATTCCCTTTTCTCCGCATCCCACGATTCAAATGTTTTAATCCTCCGCATCACCATAATCATCCACCCACAATCATCATGCTACCCTCTGGTGCCCCCCCGCTGGAGCCGTCCTCTGTCGACTCGGGCGTGAGGCCAGGATAGAAGTCGCTGTTGGTCAGCAGCTTCCTCACGGTGTAGGTCACGAGATCGTAGCACATCTCCCCACCTCGGCCAGAAGGAAGCACAAGCCCCGCTCACAAGCCCACCCCCGCCACCCCCACCCCCCGCGCCTCCCCGAGCGCGGTGGCGGAATCTCAACTGGATCAAGGCGGACAATTTGTTTTGCTACCTCGGATCTTCCCAAGCATCTTCTTTCGTTTCCGAGGCCGTCCAAAAACTTCTGGAGTCCCGAAACGGTGCGGTGACAGAACGTGCGGTGACCTCGAAATCCCCCAAGACCTCACCGCACGGTCCGTCAACGCACGGTTTTGGGACCTCGGATGCCCCAGTCGCCCGAGACGTCCTCGGAGAACGACCCGAATCCCAAAACCGCGCGGTGACCCCGAATCCCCACCGACTCACCGCACGGCGTGGTCACCACCCCGTTTGGGGACCCCCGAGAACTGCTCAAGGATGAGAGGCCGACCGGAGAGTTGGCCGAGAGGTCCGCGAGCCCAGGCCCTCGATGAAAATACAAGATGGCGGCATTAGCCGGGGAGATGGTCGAGAAGATCCGCGGGGGATTCGCGGGCGGTCTTGGCGCCGTCACGGGCCGTCGCGAGACCCTCTTGGGCCGCCTCGGGAGCTTCTAACGCTGTCTGGGGACGCTGTTGGACGCTCTCTTGGGACTGAGGAGCCGCGCGCCGTGCGGCGGGCGGGCGGACATTTGCAACGGCTGAGATTCACAAGAAATACACGCGCAACTGCTGAGCCACACAGTTAACGCAGCAGGATGTGATGCACAGATGTTTTATCTAAGCGCCTCAGATTGCCATATTCGAGCCTCCATCTCGATATGCCACTCACCGCACGAAGCGCTGAAACGCCGAGGCCTCATCCAGGCCTTATCCAGGCTCACCTTTGCAGACAAGAACGGGAAGCGCCGCTCTTTTGATGTCGGAGCTCGCTGGGCGCATGTGAAAAATTGCGCGCAGGACGTCGAGCACAGCGCGAAAGAGCAGGATGATAATGAGCGGGATGGTAAGACAACGACGTGAAGTAAGAGAATGAAGAAGACGAGCACCAGGGAGAAGGAATGATCAGCAGAAGGAGAATGTTCAGCATGAGGAGGACGAGGATGATGACGATGAGGACCACGAGGACGACGACGACGACGACGACGACGACGACGACGACGACGACGACGACGACATGGAGGCGATAGACGTCTGCTGACGACACCGGCGCCCTCCGTTCTCCCCAGCTTTTGTGACTACCCTGCGTGTTTTTCTGCGGCGGTTCAGAAAAGGTGACCGCGTCTTCAGAGAATGCGTGCACAGTCGAGATGATTTAGCGTGGGGGCTGGCAGGCTGCGCTACTATGCCGAACGGTCTGAGCATGGACGCGAGGAGCAGAGCATAGTGGGGTACGCGGTGCAAAGGAGATCCACACACACACACACACGCGAGGGTCAAAGGCAGAGTGGCTCTGTCGTGGGCCGTCTTGGCGGCCTCTTCGACGCTCTTAGGGTTGTCTTGGGCCGTCTTGGCCTTCCTGGGGGTCCTTTTGGAACGCTGTTGGGCCGTCTTTGGGTTCTCTTGGGCCGTCCTGGGGCCCTGTAAGGCCGTCTTGGGGGGCCAAAACCGTCTTGGGGCCCTCTTGGGGCTCTCCGGAACCCTCACCAGCACACGCGCTATCGGTTCATTGTGCTGGTCCCCCGCTCAACTTCAAGGCAGAACGCTGCCGTGCTGGACTGGCACGCTGGTCTGTCGAGTGAGTCTGCCGTCCTGTGCACATGATGTGGACCTCGTGAGCTGTGATGGGCTCTTTGGGGCCCTCTTGGGGGCCTTGTTGGGGCCGTTGGGAGCATTTGGGGAGTCTCTTGGAGGCTTCTTTGGCCCTCTCGGACTGTCCCGGCGTGTCTCGAGGGACTGTGGGGTCTCTCTTGGCCTGTCTGAGCGTTCTCTTTGACTGTCTTGGGGCTCTCTTGGCCAGTCTCGGGGCCTCTTCGGGCACTCTGGGGGCCCTCTGGGCGCCTCTTGGGGGTCTCTTGGGCCGCTTTAGGGGTCCCCTGGGGGGCCTTCGGAGGCTCTTTTGAGGCCCTCCGGGAGCGATTCCAAGATAATGCTGGTTCGGAGTCCCCTCCAGAGCCGACTTGTGAGGGTGTCCCGAGCGAAACGGCCATTTGTCCAGAACCTGATCAGACAAGAACGGGGAGCGCCGCTGCAGTCTAATGGGCGCATTGGGCGAAGAAGAAAAGGAAGGCGAGGGCAACGAGGAGTCGATGTCTAAGACAACGCGGCGAACGTGAGGATAGCGAGGAGGTGCATGAGGACAACGAGGAGGAAGAGAAGCACAAGGACGAGGACGAAGAAAACGAGGGCGAGTACGAGGAGGAATACGGAGGGCAATGACGACAACGACGACGACGACGACGACGACGACGACAAAGGACAGTAAGAGGCAATTGGAGCAAGACGTTGCTCCTGGCGTCGCGCGGGGTTCTTGGGGCCTGTTGGGGCCTTCTTGGGGGCCCCTTGGGTCCTCTCATGGGCTTCTGGAGTCTTCTTGGGCTGTCTGGGCGCGTCGTGGGGTTCTGTGGGAGCTGTCTTAGGCCGTCTTGAGCTGTCTGGGTGGCTCCTCGAGCGCTCTTGGGGGTCTCTTGGGGTCCTCTTGGGGCGTTTTTGGGCGTTCCTGTGCGCTCTTGGGCGCTCCTGGGGCTCTCGGGGGCGTCTGTTGGGCCTCCCTTGGGCCGTTGGAAAGCCCTCCAAGAGCGATTCGAACACGACGTCGATTCGGAGCCCCTTCTTGGGCCGATGTTTGGAGGATGTCTCGAGCGAAACGGCTATTGTTCAAAAATCCGCCAGCGTGGTTCCAAAGTGCGCCCCGTACCCCATCATTAATACCCCTTCATTAATTTCTACCACCAACAAACGGTCCACGCCAAGGGCGCTTCCCGTCATCCGCCAGCGAGGTCTGGGATGCGCCCCGTACCCTCTAGGTAAAGAAAACTGATCCCCAGAACCCACGGTGCACGCCGGAGGCGCTTCCCATCATCCGCCACCGTGCCTTGTGCACTTTGAGGCGTGGAAGAATTCCGAGGGCTGTCTGGCAGGGCTTCTGTATTCCAATAAGGCCCCACCCCCCCACCCCCACCCCTACCAACATCTACCCGCATGTACCGCTCCCCTCCCGAGGCCACGGCCCCGAGCAGAAGACCATGGGCCCGCGCTCTCAAGGCCACGACCCCTCGTTGAAAACGATGGATCCGCGTCGCGAGCTTTCAAGACGGCCCGTGCAGGCGACCAAGAAGGACACCAAGATGGGCCAAGATGCCTCGAAAACGGCCGAAAATGGCCCCAAGGCGGCCCAACCCGGCCTCAAGACGGCTCAAGATGCCTCCAAGAAGGCCCACAAGGACCACAAGAGGGCCAACGGGGTCCGAAAAAAAACAAAATCAGTGATTTCAGCAGGTTTGTTGAATGAGTTTCGCATTCTCGCCTTTCGGGCTTCTGTCAGTTCGATTAAGACGGCACAGGACGCCTCAACGATTGCCCCAAGATGGCCCTAGAGGGCCCCAAGATGGTCCAAGAGTGTCCACGATGGCCCAAGAGGCACCCAAGTGAGCCCCCAAGACGGCCCGAGAGGGCATCCCGTGGGACCCAAGACGGCCTTGAAAGGTCTGTCGACGGCCCAAAGCGGCCCCACGACGGCCCCGAGACACCCACCATACTGCGCAGAGGGCCCCAAGACTGCCCAATAGAACCCCACGACAGCGCAAGAGGGCCCCAAGACGGCCCAAGAGGGCCCCGAGAGACCTCCAAGACTGCCTCACGGGAGGCCAAGCACCCTCGAGATGGCCCACGCGAGTTCCATGAGAGCTCCTCAAATAGTGAAGACGAAAGGTGCCAGATGTGACGGCATTCCTCTTCTTCTTCATCCTCCTCCTCCTCCTCCAGTTCCGCCTCCTCCTCCTCCTCCTCCTCCTCCGCCTCCTCCTCCTCCTCCTCCTCCTCCTCCTCCTCCTCCTCCTCCTCTGCACCGCCCCCAGTCCAGCGTCGCGCTGCGCTGGCCGCCCTCCAGCGCCCAGTGGCGGCTTTGTCGGGCGTCTCTCGCGGCCGCCCGCGCCCGGCGCCCCGTCCCTCGCCCGGCCGCCTGGCCGCGCCGCGGCGCCTGCAGTTCAGTCGCCCCGCCCAGCCGCCAGCCTCTCTCCGCCTCCGCGCCGCCGCCCCGCGGCGCCTGCGCCCCCGCCAGTTCTGCGCCCGGGGCCCGCCTCGGTCAGCGCGGCCGGCCGGCGCCCAGCTCCGCCAGTCGGCCCGGCTCGCAGTAGCAGCGGCGGCAGCGCCTAGTGCCCTTGCCTCGGCTGCCCCCGCGGCTCGGCGCGTCGCTCGCCCGCGTCAGCAGAGGTGCCCTCAGCGCCCTGCCTGCGGGGCCCGCCAGGCCCGGTGCTGCGTGGCCGCCAGCACGGCGTCCGCGGCATGGCACTGTAGCACGCTGCCCAGCGCCTGCTGCAGCCCGCGGATGGCCGCCGACCGCTCAGTGTCCAGCCGCGGAGCCAGCAGCCGCACCAGGGCCAGGGCGTCCTCGCCGAAGCGGCCGTGGTCTTCGACCGCGAACGGCACCATCCGCGGGCCCAGGTAGCGCGTCCGATTGGCGTTTTCCGCCGCCGCGGCGGCGACCCCGGCGCGCCAGGCGGCCCCGCGTTCCAGCGCGTCCTGGGAGAGCGCGCTGACGACGGTGAAGTCGACCCTGAAAGGCTCCGCCACCCGGGGGGCGTGGATGACCAGGTCATGGCGCGCTTCGGCTCGGCTGGCCGCCGCGTGCGGGAGGACCACTTCTGGGTGGACCGTGCAGCCCATCTCCTCGCATCACGCCTTCAGCACGGCACAGCCAGCGTCGTGGCGGCGGACTAGCCATCCGCCCACCGGGCAGGAGCGCGCATGCTGCCCCTTCGGGTCCAGCACAGCTCCGCAGCAGCTCCCGTCGGGGCGTCGGTGCTGGCACACCCCAGTGCAGAAGGGCAGGTCCTCTCGAGGCGCACGCTCAGCGCCACGCCGAGCTGCACGT